TTCAGTCTATCCATACCTTTTATTTTTAAACTTGTATATTTATTTGTAAATTCCATTTTTAATTATTGCAAGTCAAATGTTAGTACATTCTGTTATTTTGTTTTAAGTTGAACGGTGATTGTTTTAGCATTTGCAGATTATTTGTCGAGCTTTTGTTTGTAACAAATGTAGCAGTCCTGTGTACAGAGCCCAGTATTGTGTCATGTTCAAACTATAAATAGCACATTATAAATGTAACATCTGGTGAACCAAAACCATTCTATTTGTATAAAATGCAGAAAAAATCCTTGGGTTTCAAGACCCCATTTTCATCACCGATCATCTGCAGGCAATCAATTAGTCATGCACAACAGTGAATTGCTACAAAAATAAAAGGTGAAATAAAACAAAAGTGAAATGAAAGAACTAAGATGAATAGTGACACTTGTTCATTCTATAATATGTTGAAGTGCCGTTTGTTTCTAGTTTTTTTTCTTTCTCTGATAGTATTGTACATGCTTTCTATTTTTAAGGTAGGTTTTTAAGTAATTACATTCTTACATTCATAATTAAGAATGTAGATGCATTCCTAGAGGTCTGTTTCTGATATCCATTAAAATAAGTTGTCAAAGTTGTAAAAAATTGTCATTGAAACTGATTATGCAAAATGATTTAAATGAGTTTTAATTATACAGTTAAGAACAAATATACAACATCACGATTTTATAAAAAGTGAAGCTTACAGAAAGGATTTTTGTCTTTCAGTACAGAAAATAAGTAATCCTATAATGTAGCTGGCTAACTAATGTACTTCAGGACTCCTTGACTGAGTACCATCAGGACTAATACACTTGAATGGAACCGTGTCCTACAGTAAATGCCCACAATCAAAAAGCCCAGTATTTTAAAATTATGCACAGTACAGACAGGAATCTCTAAGCTTTGGGGTGCTATAAGGATACCAGCTGAAGCTGTGGCTGGTTAATACTATAAAATGTGTAATGTTAATGCAGATAAAATGTGTAATTGATTAAATAATTCATTTGTTATATACAGTATATTGTGGGGTAAATGAAATGGAGGTATAATAAGTGAAATTAAAACTGTTTTTTATCTCCAATAAACAAGTATCAAATTTCATAAATGGCTAACTTTAACTGGCACTGCAAATAGTTGCTCTAGTGGAATATCATCTAGCAAATTGAACATTGGCCTTTAGTTTCTATAGAGGTGTAGGATCTAAGGCAATTCCTGTGAGTTAAAAAAATCTGTGATCTTGCCTATACAGATCTTGTCTATACAGTATGTGTGTTTCAGAAGTATAGAAATGTGTGTCCTGGAAGACATTATTGCACTCCACTGAGTTAAGGAACTGCTTTATTGTTCTTAAACAATTTTATGGAAGAAAACATTTGTTTTAGTCTTAGTCCATGTTACCTTTTAGGACAGTACATGTATGTCATTGGGATATAATCCTGGCTATTTTACAATGCTGTAAAGCTAAAGAGCTGGTTCTTGAATATTATACATTTGACTTATAAAATGCTAGAATATTTGACATAATTTTGCCTAGTCAATAAAGATAACTCCATGTAGTTATATAAAACATCTAAAACATCAAACATCTAAAACCCCATTTGACAAACTAAAGATAAATATATTATTTTGATTTAGATATTTAAATCACTTAAATTAAAATTATTAATGACTTTTTAGAAACTATTTTTATCTGCAGCTACAGTACTAACGTTTTTTTAGTTCCATAATTCCATAAATCCCTATTAAGATGATTTTATAAAGTGCTACATTTTTTAACAACAATAACAATAGCAAGTATTCATAAAGGTTAAAAAAGCTTTTTTAAAAGTATATAAACTTAATATAGTTAGAAGGAGCATGTCAAAACGTTCCCAAAATAACCGAGTTAAAGACTTTGATGCAGAAAAAGTTTATGAAGAAGGTAGAATACTGTTGTGAATGTTATTTTTTTATTTGTAGTTACCACTACCAGCTATGTACAGTATGTAAATATATATAATATATTGACATTACATATTGACATTCAGAGATGTTATTTTTGTTGTTACCACAAATTTCCTTTAGTTACAAAATTCCATATTAATATTCCATATTAAGTGGATTTAAAGATGTGTAGCAAAGCAGGGACTGGAAACACGGATGAATTCCCCAGGGGCGTGGTCATCTCATTTAGGAGAACTACTGTACATTCTTCATATTCTCACTGGGAAAACTGTAATTGTCTGCACCCGAAGACTCTAACTCCCTATAAAAGCAGTTCCTAAACAGTGGGTATTCAGAAAGACAATATAGAGATAAAGGTTTTTGTTAAGTACTACAAATCAGCAAAGACTTACAGTATGGTGGGATCAAACTGGTAGCAGCCTCAGTTGTTTTCCATGTCAGGATGCCTGTAAGTAAGAAGACGGTTAACGAGTGCACCTGGCTGAACAGAATCAAACGAGAGAGGTTATTGTAACTGCTATCTGGGGAAGATACAATTATGGTTCGTGTAGAGACCCCTTGCCACACAATCAAAAAGGGAGATCTTTCACAAGACGATAAAGAAGTAGGGAAACAGATTAAATGAAGCAACATCACTAGCATCGAACGCATCACAAGTGCCACCTTTCGATCGACTTTGGCCAGTGAATCACATAACGTACCACCCTGCATACTAAAAAATGGCATGCATTCTGAGTGGCTGCATCTGTACCTCCATTATCACTGCCTCTATTAGTGTTAATTTTTCATAGCTCTCTTTTTCCTTTTTTTGGTGTTTGTCTGCCTGTGACGCTAAGTATGTACAGTACCAAGGGCACGCTCATCACAGGTTGTAGTTGTGCATCCTGCTACTATTTACAGTATGTTGAAGGCAAGATACAATGAAAAATGGCATGTAAGCTCTCAGCCAGTGAGGGTAAGGAATGATATGTTCAGTTCTTTTGTTTTTAAACTAGGTGTTCACAGCACCAAAAATTCCACAACCTTAATAACTTGGTAAAGAACTAGAATCTTCATCACATTTTATATAAATATGCAAAAATTACTTTTTTCCATAGAGCAGTACATTATCTCCTTCTTTTGGTTTCCTTTTTGAAGCTGGACAGCTAGTTAACTGTAGAGATCGATTGTTTCAATGTATTTTTAACCAATACAAACGTTCTTTTATACAGTACACAGAAATGCAAAGTAAAACATTAAGTTATTTTTCAGGATTACAAAAAAAAGACAAACCATAACGCTTACTGTAAAATTTCTGTTCAAACATGGTTAAAACTGGTTTGTTTGAAGGCAGTTTTTCTTATTTTAAAGGTACTGTATCAAATTAGATATTTCTACATTTGTTATATCTGAAGCTTGCCCTGTTTTCCAGTCTGTTACCTTCATCTGTTATACAGTACCACCTACCTATGATTCATCTTTGCTTGAGTCACAAAAACTAATTTGCCAGAATCCCAACTCCTACAGTCTAACCACTTGAAGTTGCAGGCATGATATATTTTTACTCGCTTGCTCTGCACAGTGATGACACTTAAGAGAAACAGTCAGTGGTATTTTGGCTCATTATTTGAGTTGCAGAAACATTCACAGCTCAGTTGTTTGGTATTTCCTTTTTTTATAGGTAAATGGAAATAAGGAGTCATTAATGACTTTTAAGGTCCAGTGGGGACCTTGAGCCTTTGAAAAATCTCTGTTGTGATGCCTCCAGCTTTTTGTTTACTGTATCACCAGACTGAGTCTGCATATGTTCCATAAATTTTCCATCTGTTGTGTATGGTAGAAAAATTACATCACTGGTAAAATTGGATTTAAACATTGACAAAATATATAGCCTATAAGAAATTCCTAAGATAAATAAAATAAAATAAAATTATATTATAAATAAAAGTATTATTTATCTGCATTTGAAAAATATTTATAAATATTTGAAAAATATGTATACTGTAAATATTTCAGTGAAGAGAAACAAAAATCAACAGAAAGAGAAATTAATTAAATTAGCCATTTAATTTAATTAAATTGCTTTCAATTAATTGGTCAATTAATACATTAATAAATGATATGAAAATACCTAGTGATTTCCAAACTATTCCCATATTTTCTGTATGCAATATTTTAACAAGAAATCTAACATGCTAATTATCATATCCTAACAGCCTTTGTACAAACTGTAAGGCATAATTTACAGATGCAGATTATTAAAGTAATTTTCTTCCCTACTCATATTAAGCCTTATACTTTTCTTCAAAGTGGACGATTCTGCAGCTTATAGATATTGTACTGTATATACTCTTTCAAGATTTAATGTAAATGTATAATGTTTTTTTAATTCACACTATCAACTGTTACATTTTTCAGGTGTTTTTCTGATTCTGTCAGTTTTAGAAATAGATAAAATAGCCCTAAAATAACTTACCCATGGAAGTGTGATAAATTTAAAGATGTGTATTTGTGCACATTTCAATTTGAGAATAAAAGAACTATTATAATAAATCACAAGACAGGTTTTAAGCATATCCTAACTCCAACAGGTTAGATAGACTATATTTGCACATGGAATTAAGTTTAGCGTAGTAAAATGTTCAGTAACAGCCAATAGTTTCTAACTAAACAGTGTAATGTTTTTCACTGCTTAAACAGGGTAGTTCTAAAAGGTCTGATCCTAATTTCTGTAGCAAGAACCACGTTTGCTGTTCTCTTTCTAGTGTATGCTGAGTGTCCTTAGACTGTCCCAGCATTTTCTATTATTTCATGATATTATTTATTCGTGCATACAAATAATGGATACTAAACTTTTTGATAAATTTATGGATAATAAAACCTTTTGCTGTTGTAGGTTTTATAACTCAAGACAACCCTTTAAATATGCATTTTTACATTTTTTTAAGTGTTTCATTCAGTATCACTGAAGCACATCTTTAAAATATTGAAATTATCCTGCTGATGGGTACTGTTAAATCAAAATCACATATCACTGATCTTACTGTGTGTTTTCCTAGGTTGGCTGCAAAGCTGCAATTGTCTTCTTCCAATACTGTATTATGGCCAACTTCTTCTGGCTTCTGGTTGAAGGTCTTTACCTGCATACTCTACTGGCCATTTCATTCTTTTCTGAGCGGAAGTATTTCTGGTGTTACATCTTGATTGGTTGGGGTAGGTTTCTATTTATTATTACTTTTTATAAAAATTTAACTATGACTCATATAAATGTTTTCCAGAGGGATACAATATTAATAAAGTGAATTCAAATGATTTTTGCTGACCTAAAAATGAGTGGCCTCACTCTTTGTTTCAGATGCTATAATTATATAATCTTCCATTCTTCCAGGAACACCATCAGTATTTATCACAGCTTGGAGCATTGCAAGGGCCTATTTTAATGATATTGGGTGAGTTTATTAAACCTAACTTTGTCATCACCTAAGACTACAATATTTTTTTCTTATATTTGAAATTGTCACCTGCAACATACTGTACCAATACTTTATTACAGCATTTAATTTGCTTTTGTCATGGAATTTTAGCCACTTGATTTCACATCAATGGAAGGTTAACATAGTTTCTATCAATTGAGCCTGTTACTGCCTTGACATATTCCCCAGGATGCTCAGTATCCTGGAGTTCTCCCACCATGAACGACCAGACTGATGTAGCGGAAATCTCCCCTTTTTTTGGAAAAGGTGCCATGGGGCCGAGAGGAAGAGTAAATTTTGGAATTTACCAGATGTTAAAGAAACAACACGGTGGTTAACATTGCTGCTTCACAGTGCTGGGCCCCTCGTTTCAATTCCTGGGATGCTGTCTTTTTGGAGTTCATTCTTTCCTTGTTTATATGGGTTTTCTCTGGGTGCTCTGGTTTCCTCCCACAATTAAAAGATGTACTGCTGGCTTAATCTGTAAAAAAAAAAGCTTGATCCTAGTGTGTTTATTTGTGTTTGTGTCTGTGTGTGCCTTGTGATGGACTGGCATCCCATCCAGGGCTTAATCCAGCCTTACCCCCAATGCTTCCTTGGGTACATCCTGGATGGGAAGCCAGTCACACGTGCCCCAGCATGTTGCAGGGCAGACACAAACATGCCAAGGCCAAGTGTTTGATCTCAGAAATGCCACCGTGACCCTGAATTGAATAAGCTGTTTTTAAGGATGGTGTGATGTTGATGTGATGCAGACATTAAAGGCAAGCTGCAGGATCTCTGTCACACTCTTGAAACCTGAGTGAGCAGAATGGGCTTGTGGTTATTTGGTTTGTCTTGGTAAATATATATTTTTTTAATCATACAATCTAATATAGGAGATTCTGAAATGTGTTTTCACCCACAGAGATTGAGCAGTGGTGCTCACAAAGATATGAATCACTTATTGTTTGATTCTATTAATTTCCTGATTGATTTGTTTGATTGATTCAGAGTGATTTTAAAGTGCTTTGATTGTGGTCAAATGTTTTTCTTGATTTTCCAGAAGTCACCGTTAAATTTGAAAAGTACAGCAAAATACTGGGAAATTTTCAGAACTTGCCTTCAAAGTGTATTTTTGTCTTCTAATAACATTTAAATCTACCTTCCCCTTCCACATAAGGTGAACTGAGGGGATGGTGCAATAGCAGTGCAATGAAAATGGAGGAGGGTGAAAAACCTGAACTGATTTATACTGCAACACTATTTTTATATTTTGGGGTTAGAAAGAATCAGCAGTGATGAGTGCCTTTCAAACCACAATAAAAGTAAAATGTACACAGTAAAAACCTACAAAATGTCCAGTGCTATTTTCTGTGATGCAGAAAGGGGCAACACAACTTCCAATGAGATGAAACAGCCTTATTACATTGTAAACAAGCAAGCTTGTAAATACATCACTTTTAATCCAATAGGTCTCGACTTCAAGTCAGGTTTTCTAACAAATACAACTTATTTGTTAACTCTGCATGCAGGTCACTTTGGAACTGTTACATCAGAGTGCATCTTATTCAGTATATAACATGGAGGTTCCGTTTGGTTTTGCTTTGCTTCATTTCGCTTTGGTTATCGCTTCGTTTTGCTTTTGGTTCGGCTTTGTTGGTTTGTTTTGTTCTGTGTGTGTGTGTGTGTGTGTTTTCGTATAGCTTCAGCTTTGTTGCTTTGTTGTTTTGTTGGTTTCTGTTAGTTTCTTTGTACTTTCATTTGTTTGTGTTTATCCTTGTTTTGCCATTACCTTGCCCTACCATGTTATATGTTCAACTTTTGTGTTCTTTTGTACCCTGTTCCTGTTGATTACTCTCGTTTTCCCTTATTTGTATTCCTAGTTCACTTGTGTTTTTGTGTGAACTTTTGTGTATAAGGTTAGTTTAGGTTGTTGGATAAATTCTACACACTTAGTTGATTTTGTATTAGTAACACTAGTTTAGTACAGGTTAGTGCCATTTTGGGTAGTCAGTGGAGGTTAGCTAGGTTGAAGACGCCGAAGACCGTGTGTTCTGGGTTTTCTTTTGTAGTCAGGTTAGCTTTCCCTCACTTTCTTAGCCAGCTCCATTTTTGTTTGTTATTTCCTTTTCTTTGGCACCACTCTAGTTCCTTATCCCTGTGTGTTATGGTGTCTTACCAGTCACTTGTTCAACTTTTCATTTTTGCACCCACCTTTGTTATCACGCTTCCTAGTCCCTCACCAGAACCCACCTGCTTCCAAAAGAATTATCCTAAATGTTACACCCCTGTACCCCTAGACACTTGGGGTCGTAACAGGAACATTTCTGCACTGAAATGTCTGTTGCACAACCTGTACTTATTCGCTTGTAGATCGCATTACATTAGCCATTACAATGACTAGTGGGAAGAAACGGCCTTCTCACGTTGCAATTCATGTGAACTCTCACTTTTCCCCGTAGCCAGGCCAGGTTTTTTTGACAATATAGCTGCTATCCAGTACTTTCATTGAGTTTACGATTTTGTGCATAATTTGGAATTTGTAAAATTTTGTGATACTGTCAATTTATTTTATCAAGATTTAATAACTTGTCTAAGGAACTGGGACGACAGTTCCCCTTTAATTACAAGTGTTGTTTTAACTTGTATTTCTGTTTATTCAGTCTGTTAATAAATATATGTGATGAATTTAAAAAATGCACTTCATATTTGTTTTATCACCTCATATACTGTATAATTTTAACATAATGAACTTTACAAATTCATTTTCATTTTCAAAAGGTTTTGAGCAAAATATTTTGCACATACTGTAAATTCATAGGCACTTATTATGCACAAGAATTACCCAATGTTTATTCTCTCCTTATCTATGTTATGTTTTTTTTCCCTGTAATTTAGATGCTGGGACATGATAGTGTATCCATATTGGTGGATTATCAAAGCACCCATTACTGTATCAATAGTGGTAAGTTTAGAACCTGTCAAAGGGTTGTTATTAGTATTAGTGGAAATACTAATAGTAAAAAGAAAAATAAATAACCTTTTTTTTCTAAATATGTGTACAAAGTAGTGTACATCTGGTATTTTTGTTATATGAGAAACATATGAATTGGATGTTTTGAGCATCTAGTTAAACCTTGTAGATTTTGTTAATCCTGAATTATTTTAGAAACATAAAATTAACTTGATATTTTTAATGATTTTAGATTTGATATCAATTTTATATGTGTAAAGAAGCTTCTCCAAAAATGATTTAAAAGTCAGGTGTGGTTTGCATGACGTAATGCATTCAAATCAAATACTTCTGTGTTACAGATAATTACTTAGTGTGTCAACAGTTAGTTCAAATACCAGCATGTTTACAGAATGGCATATACTGTATTGATAAATGTGTTACAAATAGATACCAGGGAATCTCATTCTGTAAAGTACTGTACAGTAACTGTCAGATTAGTGACAGTGCTTGATCTGAGAATACAGTTAACCAGAAGAAGTGAAAGTGAAACCTGAGTAGAGATTGCTGTGTGTGAGAAAGCATTACATTTTTGAAAGCTTAAGGTTACAGTATGAACCCTTATAAAGGTCATAAGGTAGGTTATTGAAAAATCTTAAATACCATTAAGGCTTTAGCTGATAACTCAATTTTAACATTACACTGTCTGAAGAAAACCTTTGTAAGTTTAGAATTGTAAATTTCTTCAGAGAAATGTGGCAAAAGAAAACTTTTTCATAACATACTGAAATTATACAACATGACTTTATTGACATTATTGAAATGATTTTTCATTATACATTTACATTTATTGTAACTCATTTCAGTAGCTAGTAGCCACTGTATTTAAATGAGTGGCTCTCTTGCTACTAATGGATTAACACCATTTTGGTACACGAAATTCATACAAATACTGTTTACCCCAAACAATGTATTTTTTGAAGTAATTTATCAGAAATCAACATATACTGTATATAAAGATAATTTTGCTCATGTCATTTGAAATTCCCAGAAAACATCATTATCAATCAAGAGATCAAGAGTTAACAAATAAGAGTAATACCTTAGCAGAATCTGCCATCCTTAGAGTATTTCACAGGGTGGAGCCTCATAGTCTTTCAGGTACGGAAATGCATTGCTGCCACCAAGGAAAAAAAATGCTTGAGCTATCTCGTAATTTCAAGAAAGCAACAATCATATCAGTGTATGAGCAACCTGTTACATTTGCAGTGACAGTACCTACAGTACAAGCTATCGATACGTTGACTGGCACTGGTTTATACACAAGTATGATCATTGCTATCTCATAATTACTTACTGATGAATCAATTTGTTGTTTTTTTCATTGGTGGCAATGTGCTTCCATATTCAGGTATGTGGATTGTGAACTTCTTAAAAATGCAATTCAAATACTTGGAAATGCTTATAACAGACAGAAGAGGTCATTACCTCATAAAAGTTGTCACAGATGAACTATTCTTAAAAAGAAACATATTTACATTAGTTTGCTTTCCATGATACAATCCTTAGAGTTGTCTTTTGATTTGGAGCTTAGTGTAGTTGAACACCTCACTTTTCAGCTGAATAATCAAATTAATGTAATGCTAAATTAAAATTCCGTATATGATTTCAATGAACAAGAAAAAGTCATTTCCAGTGCTAGTTCATTTTTAGATATGACAAGTGAAGGAAAATGTTCATGCTCCTTGGTCCACAAACAAGTGTGTCTGTGTTCTTTTCAATTAAAAGGTAACTAAGCCCCAGTTCTCATATTTTAAAACTTGATAAAAACATAAATTAAAGATGCAGAGATATGTTTGACTTAAACCTTAAAAAGCAGAAAACAGCTAAGTAAATTATCTGAAAAAATATGAAAGGAAGTAAACTGCAATGTACCATCCATTGACATTGTTCTACTTTGTTGATAGGTGAACTTCATTCTGTTCATTTGCATTATTCGCATATTAGTTCAAAAGATACACTCTCCAGATGTGGGAAGAAAGGAATCCAGCCAATATTTGTAAGTATGATTTAATATCGGTCGGTTGAGAGGTTTCCTTTTTTTATTTTAATTGATTTTATTAAGTTAATCTTGCAGTGTCAGAACAGAATTTGTCAGTTTTAAAAAATATTAAACAGATACTTTTAATCATATGTCTGCTTTATATACTGTATATACTGATGCAAAAAAGAAATAGCACAGTCATTACTAATGGATATATTTTAAAAATATATAAACACAGAAAAAACTATATCAGAGAAAATATGAACAAAATATAAAACAAGGAAAATGGAAGTGCTTTAAGTAAGAAATACAATACAGTATCATATGAAAACACTATGACATTAGTACTTTATTGGTTAAGACATTCCTGCAGTCACACTCCTTTATTCACTGATTGTCATAGTCCTGGCAGTATTGTTGCATAGACATACCATACTCTGCTCAGACTACTGTGGGACAATCCAGGACTCTCTCTGCATAGCAATTGTCATCTGGCAAAGGTTAGCCAGTTGCAAGTGTCTTGATGGCACTGATGACTGGGTCCCACAGATGTTCTTATTTTATAATCTGGCCTTCACACTTTTGACAAAGTCATTCCACTGTGATCAAAGCAAAGTGTGGTCTTATTTTGTTACTGGAAAAAAGACATTTCCAGATTGGCACGCACGAATGAAAAAATTGTTGACTCAAGGACTTTGCTGAACAGGTTGCCCTCAGTCTGCATCAAAAGTTTTTTTTTTACGTTAATGAAGATTCCTCCTTTTCCAGCACTACCAGTTGATTTAAAAAATACATAGTTACCACAATGCTCACAACAACTTTCCACAACTTGTCAAATGTTAGGTCTGACAAGGCTATTATAGGCATTCATAACTCAGTAGAATGCTCCACCACTCTCTACTAACATCTCAGAAGTCACTCTGCTGAAACACAGGATAATTATTCCCAGAATTTCTTGTGCTGCAGTTACACTGCACTGCACTGAAAACAATTACACATGTGGGTCATATAGCTGTGATGGTTCTTGGCCATTGGTATGTCACACTTAATGTACAGTAGCTTGTGTCTAATAGATGCAGTTTGCACCAGACTAGTCTGTTGATTATAGCAGCAGAAAATGTAATTCTCCAGGCAACTTCTCTCACAGTCTGCCTTCAATCATCCTGATGGCAAACAAAACATTTTCATTGCTCATTGGTGGGGTGTGATTGAATCTCGACACTACTTTTGCATTAATTAAAAATAATATTTGTCAATGCATATTTATATAGATCATTAGTTCATTTTTTCAATATCCACCCAGCTAAAATGCCAAACGCAGAGCACCTGGTGTTTTTTGTGAAATCACATAACTTGAGTTCATTTTTTTGTTATGTGAAGTATCAATTCTACTTTAAAAAAATCCATGTGCTCACTATTTAAATCTTAAATACATGATGTATGTTCCCAATGAGCTATTGGTTTGAAAGTTAGATTGTTGCATTGTCTTTGTGCATTGGTATATCATGTTTACAAATTGTTCTTCATCCTGAAGTAAAACAGTGGTTCTTCAGAAAGCTTTTCATAGCTTTGCACTACAGTAGGTTCCAGATCCTTTGCTGATAATGGAAAGATATAAGATTATTTCGGAAGTGTATGAGGAACTCTCATGCCATTACTCCATTAAATTCAGCAGATGATGGTAACATATTTAATTAATGCCATAATAAGAATTGGATATTAGTAATGCAAGCTGCATTGCAAGTAATATTCTTTTTGATGTTATAGACGACTGGCAAAATCCACTTTGCTGTTGATTCCTCTCTTTGGGATTCATTACATCATGTTTGCATTCTTTCCTGACAACTTTAAATGGGAAGTGAGACTGGTAATCGACCTTGTCCTTGGGTCATTTCAGGTAAGTAGAGAAAATTGCTCAAAAGCCTGTACTGTATATTAAATGTGCTGAGCATACTGTATACACATACATATGCATGAACAGTAAGTTTGTTTTCAAAAAAAAACTTTTTTTGGGATAACTTAAATGATTTAGAATAATTGTGATTAGATTATTAGATTAATTTATCATTCATGCCTGATTTACTGATAATAATTATGATACTGATAATGCATATGTTTTAAATCACCTTCTCTCAGTACAAATGTTGATTGGGCCAAGATGAGGAGGTTACTTGACCTGTTGAATGTCAGGCCTGGAAAGAATTAAGAAAGAAAAACAGAGAAAGGCAGCAATGTACCCTACTTATCAAGAAAACAATTTATTTGAGTTGACTGTTGACTTCAGATCTTTCTGACTTGTAGTGAAGTGAATCAATTCCATTTGTAGTGGTAGCCTCCAGATCTCCAGTACAGACGTATACATTTATCCCACCCTTTGACCTCACATACAATTCTACCTTCACCTCATCTTGACATGACAATATTACAACAGGACAACACACATCTCCCTGCTGTTCATGTAAAAACAGTTTTCTTAGGAGATGATTTGAGTTTTATCCATGCAGCAAATCCTTGCCCCACTTGAGCACACATTATTTTATGAATTAGGATGAAATACGGCATCTTGGGTCCAGGGACCAGACAGATTTTTGTCTTAGCACTGCAATAATGGGACGGGATCGCTGGAGATTGCAACCTGATGCAAAGCATGCATTACAGATGTACAGCTTGTATTGGTTACAGTGGTGGCCACTCATGCAATTAGCCTCTGACTTTCACTGCTGACCCTGTGTTAATCAACCCTGTTTATGACAAATGTTAACCAGCATACCAAATTTACTTTGTCATGTTCAATAAAATGCCTGTGTATCTTCAACAAAAAGGATTCATTCATTTTCCTGGTTTTAACTATATGAATTTGCTGAAATTCATATTGTCTGCTATAAGTGATTTTTTAAGTTCAAGTTTAAAGTATATTTTCACCTAATTTCTGTCTTTGGCATTTCAAAGATCTAAAGGGAAGCTTGCTAGGTCTCTTTTTTGTAAATGTCAACAGGGAGCTTGATGAAGCAGTAAGATTAAAGATGTTACATGTGAGCTGTGACATTTCCAACTTTATACAGGTATCTTCTTCTAATGTTTCTGTGTAAGAGTCCTAACTGTATTGTACAACAATTAAACATATTTGAAATGCAGGTTTGTAGTTTTTGGCAGAAAGTAGTTTTTTTATAATTTTTTATAAGAGAAGAAAACCCAGAGATAAAAAGGTAAAAAAAACATCACACCCAAAATATATATAACAACACAAAACCCTTAATTCTTAATTCTAATAAGGGCAACTGATTAGATCAGTAGGAGAATAGCAAATAAACATAAGGACCCTTTTATCAGAGGAATGGAATTGAAATTATCTATCACATACATCACCTCATACATTAAACTGCACAATTTATACTGGAATGAGTTTTCTAGCCAGGAACTACACTTCATTTGCTCCCTTTTTGAGCTGGTTAAGTCTTTGGCCTTAATGGAAAAAAAAAGTGTTTACATGGGTTTCAGAGCTGTGTACACAGCAGCATTACAACACAAACTTGACTTAAGAAGATGGTTAACATTTGTAGATGTCAGTATTTTCATTTTAAGTGCTTTCCTTCTGTTTTCCACGTCATTGTATGCACTTTGAAAACAGTAAAAGCAGTTTACCACTTGAACATAACTAAGGCACTCGGTCTAAAGTGGTCATCCATCCATTAACAGGAAACTGTTTATTCCTGGTAAGCGTCACAGCAACTCAGAGCCTATCCTAGAAGCAGGGGACACAGGGCCTATGAATTACCAGTGAAACACAAACAGGGGAGACAGGTGGAAATTATGTGGAGAAACTTTTTAAATTGTGAATAGGAGGCACATTTCTGCGAAAACAATGGTCTAATGCAGCCTTGTTCTTGAAGCAATTAACCTGTCTTTTATCAAGAAATGCTTGGATTTATTATTATCATCATCACCACCTTCTAATGTAGTGGGCCAAGTGTTTGTTTTTATTGTTCTCTCATGTTTGTGACTAGGGGCTACTCTCTGGACCATATGAAACCACTCCCATGCAGAATTTAAAAACGCCAAATAACCCATGCTTTCTGATTAGAAACTGGAGCACCCAACATAAACCCCATTGAACTCAGGGCTAAAAAGCTAGCAGCCAGCATTATTTAACTGCCATTTCACTATGGCACCCAAAGGATTCAGTTTTACAACAATAAATATGTTTACTTTCCTTATTTGTTGTGTAAGTAATGAAGCAATGCATGTAATAATTCTCCTTTAACCATATCACTTCTCTCGTACGTTTTTATTGCCGCAAGTAGTACAATTGTCAGTAATAGTTGCTTTGTATTCATGACCTTGTACAATATACTTAAAAACCTGGATTACAAACACACACCTGTTGTATATCAGTTTTGGTACTTAAATTTTAAAAGTCTGCACTACAGCCATCAAGTATTTAAAATAATATATATGCACTCTCGTAATGTGCCATATGTGCATGAAAAAGGGCTTCCATAAATAAAACTTACAACTTTATATATTTTACAATACAATTAAAGTTTCTCGATTTAATTTTAGACAAAGGTGTAATTCATAAAATCAATTAAATCGTCAATGATATTAATATGTTGTATAACATTTTAAAAGAATGTAGCAAAATCCACACAATGTTATGTATCTAATTACATGTAAATGAAAATTGAATTGTGCATACAACAAAATCCAAGCAGTACTTCTAAACTTCCTTCCAGTTTGTTCAGGTAGCATCATGAAAACTTTAGGATTTTACATCTGCTGCACTTTTGTATTGAAAAAAAAAACAGTAAAAAACAGTCTGGATGTCTTGTAGTAGTAAATGTTTTTAGAAAGTCCTAATTAATTTACTTTTAAACTCTGAAAGCTTATCTTTTAAATTACACCATAAACAATGGTGTCTGTCTTATTACAAAAGCTTGTCAAGACATACAGTAGAGTGTACTGTTGTCTTTCATTTTAAAAAGGTTTTTTTCTGGCACTGGGCCTAAGACTTCTAACTGTCTGTTGTCTTTTTCAGGGGTTTCTTGTAGCTGTCCTGTACTGTTTTCTAAATGGAGAGGTTGGTTAAAATATTTTAAAATCTAATTTTAGTATATCCTTTTTGAAAAGAGTCTGGGAGCATTTAACATGCTCGTTTGATGTAGCTGCTTTGTTCATCTTCTCACTTTTTTTTTCTCAGAAGCCAACCACTTTAGTGATTCACTTAATTTCAACAAAACCTTGTCTGGCATCACTTACCCATGGTGACAGTGGCCTCAGAATGCACAGCCAGCAATCTTCCACAGATGGCTGCCAAATGTAGCCTTGGCTACAAAATGGTGTCATTGTTATTATCATTTGTCACTTCTGTGTTCACAGGGTGTTTAACTCACACTTACTCGCTTATTTTGGTTCATAAAACTTTTATTAACATATTTAATACATATTACAATGACTTAATTTGAAATGGCAATATTTTTTAATGGTTATCTTAAACATATATATGAACAGGGCAAAACATAATTTTCCTGTTGATCCTTTTACATCAGAAACATTTACTCCCTGTGTAGCAAGAACTAGTACTCTGCATGTTGCAAGGGTGGTGTGTCTGTGTTGATTGGCTTTCTGATTATTTTATATTGTATTCCAAGTAATATTTTTTATTATCTGCAGTTCTAAGAAAACAGTAGTTTATGTCCTCAAGTTCTAATTGGTAATAAGAAATGCATTCCCTTTCTTATTACCACCATGATGACAGTAAATTCCTAACACTCAAGAGCTATAAAAGAAATGCTAGTTATTTTTTAATTCCAAATTTTATACTTACAAATTAAAGATACAAGACTTGACATCTGAGATTAAGGTTATCCAAATATCCCTGTTGATATCTTTCCGACTTTACCAAAAGTAACTGAATTTTATTACAATTGATAGTTTATTACTGTATTTATATACAGTATGTACAGTATGTGTCACATCATGAGACCAAAGTGATAATAAAAAGTGTCTCTACTCTTTAACCACAGGTTCAAGCAGAAATAAAGAGGAAGTGGAGGAGGTGGCATCTGGAGAGGCTGCTTGGCACGGACATGAAGTACCATCAACCCTCTATGGGAAATAGTGGCACAAACTTCAGCACTCAGATCTCAGTGTTCACAAGATGCAGTCCAAAGACCCAGAGGGCATCTAGCTTTCAAGCTGATTCCTCTGTAGTTTAACATAGGAACTTACAGTATATTGCATCTCTGCTTGGTGTTTCAGCTGTTTTGTTGGGAACGTTCATTCAAGATACAAGAGAGTCTATTAAAAATTAAAGCAAAATGAAAAAATAAAAAGTAATACATTCAGACAACAACAATATTCTAGAAGAATCTTAAGCAGTTCTTTTATGAAACTTTAAAAAAGCTCTAGTAGTAAATCAATCAAGAAATTTTAATGCTAAACTTCACAGCTGGCTACCAAGAGTTTATATTAGTGTACACATCGTGAATATTGTAAGAACGTATTTGACACAGACATGTCTTTAAATAGAAATAAAAAAATTAAAATTCTGCACATTCCAAAACCTGAGTCTGTGTCAATGGCAGTAGACTTGATAAATTCACAATTAATGACCTTTTCTACACTAAGTGTACTAAAAAGGCTGCAAATACAGTACCTTTATGACAATCCTCCCGCTTCCTGCAAACAAAAAAAAAAATGGCCCTTTCAAAAAAAAAAAAGGGGAAGGGGGGGCAAACCTGCCAGCAGCTTACAACTGGATAATGAAGCACTTTGTCTGAGTTAAAGCATCATTAAGCCAGGTTCCTCAGATCAAAATGTTAAAGTTTTTACAACTGCACACAATCACCAAAGAAAAGCTGTAAGTACTTAAAATGTAGGAGTTGAACAAGTGGTCAGCTTTTAGAAAACCATATTTATAAATAAACAAATTTAAAATTAATAAACTCAAACATGGTTTCACATGAAAACATGTAGCAGACAGATATTATACACATCTACAGTATATTAGGATGTTGTGCAGCCACACCAGCAGAGCAATGTATCTTGTGACTGTAGCACTGAAGTGCATTGAATGATGGCTACTGAACTTTTTATATATACCGTATAGGTACCTTTAAAGGGAAATACTATGTGGTCACTGGAATCATCATAAGAAGACAAATTGCCCTCCTCCGTCTGATCTGTTTGTTAGCCAATGACTAATGATTATAAGGACAGCATAAACGTATATAATAAAAGTAATGATGTTCATAAATTGAATGTATATGTAATATTAAACTTTATTGTTTAGATATTATATAATAATACATCACAGATAGTATTCTTTTCGCTTTTCCACCAGTGGACCATAGTGATACCCAATTTACCAAATTGTGGTACCATAATGAAAAATGGATGTTGAAGAAATATTCTTTACTATGTTATCACTATGTTATCACAGTCATAGCATGAAAGAAAACATAGAATTAACACACTACTGGTACAATGCTTGATGTATAAGAACATATTCTGTATACCACATACAGTATACTGTAAATAATTTAGGTTTTTGTAAAATGGCTATAACATTATGTGTAAATGCCTGATTGTGCCAATGACACTCTTCTAGTAACATTGTAAAACACTGCAAAATGTTGTCTAACATAATATAATCACATCCTTACAGCAACATTTTTAAATATTATTACAACATTTTTTTAATGTTAGCTGGTATGGACCTGCTCTGCGGAAGTGTTGTTGTATTTAGGTTTTTCTGTTCCGTGATCCTGCTTGATTAACAGTTTAACAGTTTATAATTGCAATAAAATAAGCATTCCTGTTTCTGTTCTTTGAAAGAAAGCAAAAGTGAGTTGAAATTCCCGGTAAAATACTAGTAATATGTAATTTGAAATTAAAGCGGTGCATATCTGTATAACTGACAAAGAGTTGTTAGATGGTAATAGTTCTGAAACACAAATAATACAAATAAAACTTAAAAAACTAGTGGTGATATACTTTATAAGGTTGGAATATGTTGTCTATATTAGCTTTGTGTTTCTGTCTGCAAGCCCCTTGCATTTCTGTTCTTGTATTTCCGATTTCTGATATGTAACTGTGCTTGAAGGCTTCACACCAATATCTGTTGTCTACAGTGTAAAGGCAAATGTGAAATGGCTTCTCTACCTCTAAGAAAATGTTGTCGAGAATGTATATTCTTAATTATGTTAAAACTGTATATAATGTTCTGTACGGTTTGTTCCTTTACTGTTTTTTTTTTAATTTCTGGAATGGTAAATTTACAATGTATTATGTGAGATTAGAATGGTTTGTTTTATTAGAATGTCTATTAGTCTGTCTATTTGCAGAATATATTATATACAGTATTATTTGTACTTTAAGATGTAATGATGTTTTCAAAGTAAAAAAATCATCATATGTAGTTGCAAAACTGGATGTTGTGATATTAAACAATATATTTCACTTGAAATAGTTTGTAATATGGTTATAATTCTTTGTGTTAGATGCCAGATTTGTGCTTGTTGGTCACATCCTGTTTATTTAGTAGTCATAAAGTTATTAGAAAACTGTAAAAATGTATTTTACACCATAATGGAGACTTTCCAATGGCTACAAAAAAATATTGTCCACACATTATTGTTGTCTGATGTCTGTCTCACACTCGAAAGTTCTACTTCTTTTTTTCCAACTGAAACATCTTATGTTAATATTTTGAAATGTACAGAGCACTGTGTTCCAATTAAGTAAACAACATATGCCTACTCTTACATATGCCTGAAAACTATTTAAAATAATAGTAATAATAATCATTAATAATAGTAAATTAAAATGAAGCATGAAAATATTTTGACATTTGAGAAGGTCGTTGCATTTTGGTTGCAAAAAGCTTGAGGTGGGTCAGAAACTGTATTGTTGTTTTGTGAACTATAGTATAGACATTTTCTTCAACTTAATAGCTCAATCCATTATGACAAAATTTTCATTTTTCTGAAGCAAAATTATAGAAATAAAAAGACAACTCATGAATATGTCATCCAGAAAAAATACTTTTTCAATACTTTTTTAATATACAGTATTGAAAGGTTACAAAATCACAGAATAGAATAAACACTTGGCCTCAAATTTAAAAAGATCAAATTAAAATACTCTTTCACATACTGAAATGTATGTCTGACCAGTTACTAAGGGAGCTTCAACAGCTACTGTATCTACAAAAACAGAATTCCCATACTAATTCACTTTGTCAAGCTACATACAGTAGTAAAAACATGAAAAGAATAAAAAGATAAATGTGTGAGATAAGTAAACACACACATATAGATAACATTGTATAAATACTTCATAAAAATACCCTGGAGACCATTTTTAGTCCACTTACTATTTAAGTATCTGAAAAGAAGGAAAATACTAATATTTAAGTTACATGTAAAGACTTGAATTATAGTTTTATTTAGTGGGCACACTAATGTTAAGTAGAATACTTCTGTGTTTGTCACCTTTTCAAACTCCCATTAATTATCAGAAATTGAAAGCATTCGGTCTTTTTAATAATTTTTTTCTTTAAAGTTTGTCACACATCATTGTGTGTTTTCCCTCTCAGTAATGCAACGTTCACTTTGAATTAAATATTTACAGTATACCTGTATACATCTTTAGTCCATAATTCAAAAGTAAAAGTAACCCTACACTCCAAATTATAGCACATCCAATCTTATTTAAGAGTAAAGGAGAATAGACTGTTGAATTGTTATTGTATGCAATACATTCTATTTATAGCTTCCTTTAGAAAAAGGTACAATATAAATTAATTAAAGGGGTTAAAACATACTGTTTCTCTCGGGAACTTTTTTATCTTTCACGAGGAATGACAGCATCCCAAGACTGGGATAAAGTAGAATTGTTTATTGAGATAAACTGAGGGTCAACCTCCTGGCCATTTAATGGGGAGGGGAGGGCTTCTGTCCAATCAAAGGAACTAGCTGCAAAGGTGCAGGAGGGATGAGAAAAACTAGAAAGGAAGAGGAGAAGGTGACGTGGTACAGTATATATGAAGACAGAGCACTTATGTCAAAATGAGTGTGAGTTGTGGCAGCTGATTTTAATTAGTAGTTCAGCTGCCTTCATCCCTCCGAACTTTCATTAAAAACTCAATTTCACTGCTGTTCTTAATTGACATTTATTTCCTTCAAAATCTATGCATGTTACAGACCCTTATGTTTTGTTTTCTGAGGTTGCTCACCTTTAACATATTCCAGTCTATTGTATTGTGTTTACATAATACAGAAGTAATATAGAAAAATGGGAAAAGGGAGACACCGGAGGTGAGAGGTTCTTGTCCAGATCAACCTTAAAGACCAGACTCTAGTAAATTATTTGAACCTTAAATAGGGAGCTTGCCATTTTATTTTATTTAGGAAACTCAGATTTCCTGTATGGAGAATCCCTAGGTTAAGAAATCTTTTCCCATTAGTGGATGCTTTTGGAATAGGGGGATTTACTTGTAGCATCCAGATTTATAGAAAAATATTTAACTTTTCCTCAAATTGGGTAAATTGCAGCTGTGTACGAAGTTGTGGACTAGTTAATACAATACTATTTGGAGATCATCTCCACCTCTGAACTCAACTGCAACAGAAATCTTGTGGAACAAAGTTGGTAACCAACTGAACTTGGGCTTAGTACAGTGCTGAGGGCTCAGCATTGTTGTTGATCTAGCAGAAACTGTTGTTGATTAGCAGAAACTGCAGGGGGCTATGAATCAGAGCATTTCAATTAAACTAATCAGTTAGTTCATATGTAGCCCATGATTATTACTTTTTCTGTCACATGTTGATATATAACTGAATGTTTGTGGCAATTTACTGTTATTTTTAATTTAAGAACATTTATGAAGATTTATGTTAAAATATGTCAGATAAGGGTACATACCTACTGATGTGATACTTGATCCCTAAATTTTTAAAAAAGAGATTTGCTTGTTTCTTATTAGGTCTGTGTACCAGTCCATGCACCCTCACTGTGGCATGTGAGGTCCTACACAACATTGCTATCAACTGGGATGAGCCTCCTGTTCTGTCTCCAAGACTGTCTGCACATTACAGCTGTTTTACTACCATTCTTATTGTACCACAGCCACAGATAAGAAAAGGGGCACTGTTATGAAGAACTGTCTTAAATAATAACTTTTAAAAGTAATGATGATAGTTTTTTTTCTTTCGTGTATCCTTATATTTGCCTACACAATGTATTCTCTTACCCCCAAATCCTCAGTATCCCTGCTTTCCCCTTAGAAACACAAATGTAGAGTCCCATCTCAATAAAATTAACCCAGATGTGTCAGAATACAGTATGTCTAAGATTTACTGTACAATACACCCAATTTAAATATTTATTTCCTTAATTTCAGTCCTCTAAACTTCACAGAATATCTGAAACTTCACTATCACATACAGTATGCTGCTTTCAGTATGTTGCAATTAACCCATTCTGTTTAGTTTAGAAGGCAGGTTTATCACTTTTGTTGGTCTTTAAATACTTGGTAGCAGTCTGGGTAGCAGTTTGTTTCTGGTTAGTCAGGCTGTAGGCCTCTGAGACTTTTTCTTTGTAGAGAGAGTACTGTAACTTGAATGTTTTATTATATGTTGTTTAGTGTGTGTTATTGTCATTGTTAATATTTGTTTAACCTTGTGTGCCTCATTAATTAT